ACTGAATAGCTATGGGGAAAGAGGGATTTAAGTAGCCTGGAGCTCCTGCAGAAAGGAGAAGAGGTGAAAAAAAAAGATAGCCAGCATACCCCTTCAGAAAGACCACCCTCTCTGATGTTCAAGGCAAGCACATGATGGCAACCACATTTGCTTACTCAGTCATTTCACTGCTAGTATCTTAGTAGTTTCTTTGTAAAGCATTCTGAGATACTGAGAATGAGAGACAGCATACAACCATGAAACCATGCTCCTAGGCTGTGTCTTTCTATTAATGAGCAACAGGGAAAAAAGTTTACACATAATAAACCCTGCAGACAGCCACATTCTATCTGCAAGAGTTCATTCTTTAAAGAAACTAGACAAGCTAATTCCATGGTAAATACTTGGAGTTATATACCCTGCTTAATAATATCTTGTTACGCTCTTTCCCAAGGCTTTAAATAGCTAACACTGCAGATCACTCAGGAGAGCACAGCATCCATGGAAAGAACAGAACAGAACTTACGTTTCACTGGTAACGCCGAAAACTATTTTCGGAAACATTAACAGGGATGCCAGTTTCCTCAAATTGGTTGGAAAACTAACTAGGGGAAGAAGTGTGTTACAGCAATACTCCTTTCCTTGGCTAAGAGATGTACTAGATGATTTCCAGATCTTTTCAGTCTCTAACATCATCATCAAAAGCAACCTTTTTCTTTCCTCTTTTAGGGGAAAAGTGGGTTGTGGGGAGGAGAGAAGATAGAAACACACTAAAAACATGCCCAGGTTATAAAACAGTAAGACAGTTCACTATTTGGCAAAATAGCTTCAGTCTAAGGTCTTTTGCAATTTCCGTCATAAAAAAGTGTTTAACTCACCATTGTATTTGGCACACGTTCAAGCTCAGAGTGCGTTTTCAACTAGTTAATTTTATGTCTATTTAGCTTTTCATTAATAGAGTGAAAAAATGTCTGCTGTGTAATGGATGAGATTTAAATTAAAATTTTATTCATAATAAATACTTCAGAAAGAAAAGGAGGACTTGTGGCACCTTAGAGACTAATACATTTATTTGAGCATAAGCTTTCGTGATCATGCATCTGATGAAGAGAGCTGTAGCTCATGAAAGCTTATGCTCAAATAAATGTGTTAGTCTCTAAGGTGCCACAAGTCCTCCTTTTCTTTTTAAAAGATACACTGTAAATTCCAGGGCTGAAACCTAGATGGGACAATGAAGTTAACAATTCTTAAAGCACCATGTGATCTTTACTTACAAGTGGTCAGGTTTTAGATCTCATCTAATGACTGGCTGTATATACAGTGCTCTGCATTGTGACCACTCCAGACTAAGACTGGCAAATATTAGGCCAAATGGAAAGGCACACAGGTTCCTGTAATGAAATTAATGAACCAGAGGTAAGTCTGTTTTGCCTCCAAACCATTATCAAACTATGCCTAAAGTAAGGCGCTCCTCCCTTCCCAAGCTATACTTTCAGAATGGACCTTAGTCCATCATTAGAGAAACTAAAAATTCAGTCTTTAATATAGAATTGAGGGATTACAAGAGAGATTGAGAAGGAAAAAACAATAACTTTAGCAAATAGGGAAAGACATGGAAACAAGGTTAACAGTATTGTATTAGATTTGCATGTTTCTCCCAGGACAGGGCTTCTGAGGTTTCATTTCAATGTGCTTTCATATTATTCAGGTGCCCTAAATTCTAGAGACTGATCTGAAGTCAATGAGCTATTTCAGAGAGTCAATTAATAAGGAAACTAGATAAATGCCTTAATGAATCTTGGGAACACATAATACTCCAGATACAACAGTGATAACTGGAACAGGGCAACATAATTTCTGCTGGATCTAGGTCAGCAACAGAGCAATCTTCATTTAACTCCAGGAAGAGGACAAGAATCACCAGAATTTAAAAAAAAAAAAAAAAAAAGGTTATATTTTAAAGACCTACTCATAGTACAGAGCGCTCTGAATGAGTCCATTGATGAAGCACTGGTTATTCATCTAGGAGAGATGAATGGAACAAAAGGGTTCTCTTAAATGCATCCTGAAAACAGAAGCCAAATCTAGCAGTGACATTTCAAACATGTGCCCTACTTCAGGAATAAATTCAAGAGGGGGAAAAAAAATGCCACACAGCAGAGGTAGGAATCTAAGCTACAGAAAGCGTATGAGCCCCCCCCCCCCCCCCGCCCAAACTCACCACTCTAGTGAATACGTAATTTTTATTTCATTGTGCAGGGGTTTACATAGACAGTGTCTATACACTGAAATATACTTCTCATTTGGAATTATAAAATTAGCACCTACTAGGGAGATTACCAGTTAACAATATGTTAACCTCTGAGCCAGACAAGCCGATACTAATGCAACATGCAGTGATTAACAGAAAATTAATCCATGAATGTTTTCATTACGCTTTGACTCAATCAAGCATTTCATTATGGCTCACAGGAGGGCACTCTCCTCCAATTCTGTGAATGCTGCATGGGATACATTTTCTGCACAGCAAAATCAGTTCTAGCACAGTAGGTGGCCAATAGAGAAATGGAGGGGGGAAAACAAAAAAGAAAAAGTGTTGATTTACATTCTGCCCTTGAAGTGAAGCAGGTTAGGGGGACATTTTGGTTGTTAATACACAGCAACAGGAAGTTACTCCATTTCTGCTACCATTTGGAGAAAGCAGGGGGAATTGCCAGTCATACAAACGTGGACAGCTCTAACCAAACTTAGTTGGTACAACCATCACTTGGGCCTCATTTTAGTGAGCGAATGCCTGCTAACATATCCAGGGACCAATGATCTTTCTTAGATAATTGGCAAATGACTGATTCTGCTAGTTTAAAAGCACTAAACAGAAGCTTTCCTGTATGCTGCAAAGCACAAGTCTCATGGACACACTGCCCTCTTGTGGCAATTCAAGAAGTCTTAAGCCAGAATCTATGTGGCAGTGGCAGGAACAGACAGTGTGCTTGTCCCCACCGATGGCATTGTTCTCTTAAAAGTACTGGAATGTGCAAGTCAGAACCAGCAAACTGTTTTGTGAAAGTGCCTCTCCAACCTCTTTGCTGACAAGCTCAATCTGTTTGATTTCTAGTTTATGTTTGGCTTTCAGTTCCATGAGGACTTAGTTTGGAAGAAAGAAAGTATGAGAATAGGTCACCTGAATGAAGGGGACAGGTTTAAAGAGGAATCACCCACAAGGCAGGTCAATTTTACTTAATAACCTTAACAGTATTTTAAGTCACCATATCACTACTTTATGATCCAAGGGATAAAAACATTCATTACTTGAGAAAGTGACCATGAAGGAGTAATCTATATAGAAATATTTGAAGCGGGTACACATCAAGAAAGGCAAATCAAATATTTAGTATTTGAAAACAGTCTTCCCTGTATTTCCCAACAAAAACCCACCAGAGAATGGATAGATTGGCTTCTGAGGGAGCACTACAAAGCTTGGCTAAGCGATGAAAAAAATGCGTGGAAGGCAAAGGGGACACATGAACATCAAGGAGGAAGCGGAATTTAGGAGGATACAAACCCCGGGGGTCACAACCAAGCACAATGGGATAAAATACAGTGGAAAATTTAGGCTGAACAGGAAAATAATCTGAAAGCACAATCCAGTAGCCTGTTGAACAATCTGCCAGAGAAATCACCCCATAAACAGAGATTTTAACACTAGACTGTACAAAGCACGAGAAAGGGTTCAACAATCCTGCATTGTCTCTTGGGTATGGACTAGATGACTTAAGCAAGCAAGCAGTCAGGTATGGGAAAATATTACTGTTTTATGAACCATCATTTTTCATTTTCTATGGAACAATAAGGGGAAGGATGGTGCAGGGGTTAGGGCACTAGCGTGGGATTTGGGAAACCTTGTTTTGACTTCCTGCTCTACCAGACTCTTTTGTGTGACCTTGGGAAAGTTACTGAGTCTTTTCATGCCTCAGTTTCCTGTCTGTAAAACCCAGGTAGCAACGTTTCCCTGCTTGCAACAGTGTGGTGAGGCATTCAGATACAATGGTCAAGGGGGCCATGTAGACACCTTGTAGAGACAGAAGTTGGCCTTTTTGTCATGTTTCACATTAAGGGGCTGTTTGTGCACTGTGCCCTTCAACAAGTCTCTACACTCTATTCTTATAGGCTTCACAGACAACAAATTCTAAATTTGTAGATGTGACCTAAACATTTATACTGATCAATCAATTATCCTTGTGACGCTAAATTCAGGCTGCTCCTTGGTGTTCTCTAGAAGACCCAATATCTATCAGTCATACTATTATCCAAAAGTTAGAAAATTGTAACAATCCTTTCTGACTAAAAGATGCCTGAAGTGCAGTCACAATTCATCTTTGGATGATGCATTTTGTAGGACGTCAGCAAATGGCTGCTCCAGCATTGTAGGGTGCAGCCCGAGCACAATGCATGAAGATTTAGTGTTTAACTGCTATTAGCACAAAAGGTAGTTGTTCAAATAAACCGCTGTGCAGAGTATTGAAAAATTTACTTTTAGGGATAGATACAGCTTTCTGCAACAAAGATGCTGCAACAATCGGCTGGATACACAACTATGTAAAGTTTGCAACAAGTGTCTCACAGAGCATCTGGATTAGGGCAGCAGGCAAATAACCCTTTAAGGGAACTGGCATTACCCAATCTCACAAATACATTCCTCCCCAGCTCCTCCCTGCCCCATATCCCCTAGCATCTTTCCATCTAAACCCATATCCTTTATAGGGAAAAGAACAAAATCCAGAACAGAACATACGATCACCGTTTGACAAACCTGCGGCAAGTCCTATCAGCCCTGGTGGTCTCCCTGATTGGATTCTAAGCATATCGCTACCACTCTCCTCAAGCCACTGGGAGGAGTAATTAAAACAGCTACTCAGTTTTTGAAACTCCAGGATCCACAGATTAAAGAAACTGACAAGTCATTAAGAGGCACAGCAGTTATGTTAGGAGTGTGTTGTGATGTACTGTAACACAAAATGTACCTGTTTAGAGGATGCCAAAACTACAGTTTTCAGCACCAAGATAGCTGATTTCTCTGGCTTGACTGAAGACACTTTTCCTTTAAAAACAAAAAAAAAAAAACAGAAGAGAAGAGAATTTACAATGATCAAGACATGGTTACTCTGTTTGACAAGAAACATCATTTGCACTGAATACACTTTGTAGCTGTCATTGCTCCCTGAACAGTGGATGTCCTGTGCAGTACTAAAAAGCATAAAGATGCTGAGCCCAACCAGATACTGTATTTCCTACTTGGCAGGCATTTATTATATGAAGGACACAAACAGATTAGCTACTAGCCAAGTGGGTAAGAGAGCGCCTCTTTGCATAGATAGAGCAGAGATTGTGTGGGATAGATGATATTTTCCCCCTCTATTAAACCATTTTAAGTTTCGATGATGCAAAAATATTTAAATAACTATGATGTACATTTTAGCTTACTGTTTCATGATGATTGGCTGAGACTTTGATCATTGGCATCAATGCAGGCTGGAGCTCTGTGACAAAAGTAATTCTCACTTATGCCTGCAGATGGCTACCTCACCAAAACAACTATCATGCATAAATACAGGGTTTGTTTGTTGTTTAAATCTATTGTTAGGCATGTAAGGAATGAAGAAATATTCCAAGTGCTTAGTCAGCCATTAACTGAGGTATCACAGAGAACTTCTCTCCTGCTGACAAAAGTGATATAGAATGGAATTATGGAACTGGTCACGTACACATTATGCTTTTCTAAAGACGTAAGACAGAAGATTTCAGAGAAATCAGCCAAAACTATTAATGCAAAGCCTGTCATGAAGACAAACATTGTCCTAAAAAGAGAAAAATAATTTAGAAAGATTTAGTCACAGGCCACGCCTACAGCAGTATTCCTGTTTGCTTCCTCACCAGAGCAAACATACTAAGTGCATATTTGATTTAAGCCTAATAAATCACAGAAAAGAACTTGCAAATAAAACATTTCAGAATGTTTTCAGGTAGGGAAAGTTGCTGAAATGCATGTCTTTTGTTGTTCTCTTGCCACAGAGGGCAGGACAAGAAGCAATGGGTTCAAACTACAGCATAGCAGATAGGTTTTTCCTGAGATTTAATCAAATTGAAAGAACAGTAGGACAATAGAACAAATTGCCTAGGGAAGTTGTGAAAGCTCCTTCACTGGAGGTTTTCAAAAAGAGGCTCGATAGCCATTTGTCTTGGGTGGTTTAGACACAACAAATCCTGCATCTTGCAAGGGGGTTAGACTAGATGACCCTTGCATCCCTTCGACCCCTATGGTTCTTTGATTCAGTATGACAAAGAAATATAGCATACCCTATAAAGTGAGCTGTCTAGATACTTCTCAAACGCAAATCAGACTGGTTGAGGCAACACTATGTCTACCATGTTTTCAAAATACAGCCAGCGAAGCGGAGACCCCAGAATTATTAGTTATATAAATCACAAATATGTTTAATATTTTACAAACATTTAGCTCCATATCTGCTTTTGCAGGAGAAAAAAAGTTTTTGCACAAGAAATGAGGTTAACAGTGTTTAATTTATTACCTACTACAATGAAAAACCTTTAGCAAAATCCTGGCTCTTTTGTAGTCAACAGGAGTTGTGTCATTGCCTTCAATGGGGCCAGAATTTCATTCCTTGCATTTACACTGTGTCCACAGCTTCAAGTGTTATTGAAGTCGTTTAATACATGATGACAGGAAGTTGCCTCAACATTTTCATGACAGCCCTATGTTCCCAGGGAATGGTTAGCCAACAAGATTACTCCTGGGCTGGAGCCCTCCGGAGAGGTTAAATTTTCTGAGATATTGAGGGGCAAAGGGAGAACAAGACATCGAAACTGGATTCTTGAATGAAGAAAAGCATTTAACAGAAGATGCTATTTTTAGCCTTACCACTCTGGACAGTGTGGCTTTAAACTATCCACCATCTTAAATGAAATATCTAAAACGGAGAGAAGTCAGGGAGAGTAATAATTTTATTAAGATAATGTTGAAGTAAAAAGAAAATGGTACAGGGTTTAAGCATAGAAGGTTCTGGTTATCAGGGAATAAGGTACAGATTATCAAAGGGTGCGAAATTCGGTTTAGGAACGGGAGGCGTAAGGAATACATAATCTGCAATCTCCCCGATTGGGGGTGAAAGTTTAACCGGTCAAAGTACAGACATTGAGATATGGGGGTATGTCGTCCATATAATGGCTATGTTCAGGTGTGGAGTATAATGAGTGGATACAATGATAGAGATGGATCTACCCTCATTTGGTGGGATTTAATGTTCAGTGACAGGTTTCAGAGTAGCAGCTGTGTTAGTCTGTATTCGCAAAAAGGAATACTAGTGGCACCTTAGAGACTAACCAATTTATTTGAGCATCGGATGAAGTGAGCTGTAGCTCACGAAAGCTTATGCTCAAATAAATTGGTTAGTCTCTAAGGTGCCACTAGTACTCCTTTTCTCTTTGCGAATGTTCATTAAGTTTATGGTTCCAGTTCATATGGTCCAATGGAAAAAGTCTCTCAGTCCCTATCCCATAGTGGATGCACGATGTCGTACCGGCTCACGCCTCCTGGTACTGTTGGTGGCTGGTGATGTGTTCAATGTAGATGTCCCTGGACCATCAGATGGTGTCCGAGACCATGAGGCGTCGCATGAGCCATGCGTAGCGTCGACCGATCCCACAGGTCTGCAGCACACGCTCGTTGCGGGGGTCCCAAGCACCCAGGACTCCGACGATCAGGGCATCCATCTGCATCTCGTAGCCCTTTGCTCTCAGGGTGTCGGCCAAAGGGGTGTATTTTTCCAGCTTACGAGCTCAGGCTTCGCAGAAGGCTGGGGTCCTGTTCTCGAAGGAGATCGTGATGTCGACAAGGATGATCTTTTTCTGGGCCTCGTCAGTGACTACCACATCAGGTTGCAACTGGCTGTCAGTCCCAGGAATGGCGCAGTTCACAGCGACCTCCCCCAGGTGCAGTGCGATGGCTTTCACTAGGCAGTTCTGGATGGCGTTGTGGCGCAGCTGCCCGGCTCTGGAGTGGGGCAGGGTCTCGGAGTAGCCACACTTCCTGTAACACTTGTCTCGGTTCCCGTGGCAGGACGGCTCTGTTGAGCGGGACGCAGTTGAGCCGGGCACGGTGGATGAACCGCCAATCGGTGAAACAGGTGAAGCCGCCCCCGGCGAAGAAGTGGTTGCTGGCGTCCCACTTGCTGGTCAGTTCGAAGGCTTTAGCCTCGTCCGGTTTACGCTTCAGGATTTCCATGTACAGCGAGTGGATGGCTGCCTTCAGGGTCCTCTCCAGCATGCCCCTGGCGCTTGGGGTGACGATGGTGTTGTCATCAGACCTGATCTGTGGCACCAGGACTCCCAGCTCCTGCCGCTCCTTGCGCCACTCCCAGCAGCAGCCGATGCGCTTCCCCAGGCGACGCATGGCATTGTGAGCATGGGACCACAGTGAAGGGATGTCGCGCCCATCCCACCCGAATTCGCCATCCAGGGAACCACTCATGAAGCTGGCGGTGTCTTGGTTGGAGGGGGCTCTGCCGATCTGCTTCTTTGTTGCATCATGGAGGGCATTTGCTGAACGTATTCTCAACTCAGCCCTCCTCACCCATGTCTCAGTATTGCAGCCTGATTGGCCAGGTCTCATGGCTGACACATCTAAGCACAACAGGGCCTGAGTCAAGAAGCCAGGAAGCTGTGTGTGATAATTTAAAGGGAGGGGAGGGAATCTGCTGTAATAAAACAGGGTCAGCAATTCTGACTCCCAGGCTCTGTTCCCAGTTGTGCTGCTGATTTGTGTGACCTGTGACCTCAATTCATCTCCTCTGTAAAATAGGTGCTAATATGTCCTCCTCCCTGGGGTAATGCAGTTCAATGTTTGTCAACTAAACCGACACCCTCTGCTGAAGAGGGGCACCCTATTACATGTGTGAACAAATGAATTAAAGTGTAGTTGTCTGCTCCACCAAGGCTGTGTCAGCAAGTCTCCTTTTACACTGGTCTTGATGCTGCTCCACTAGGGGTGACATAGGTGGGAATGCTCATGTTAACAGGGCAATTGCATTTTTACCACTTTAGACATCTAGACTATGCTTACTCTGAGCAGGTCTAGAGAACATGGTGACAAAAAATGCTGGTGACTTTGAGCCCCCTCTAAAACTTCTATAGTTGTGGGGAGGTTTTGGTGGCTGGAAGGAGAGAAGAGGAGGAATATCAAACATACAAAGGTGCCACAAGTACTCCTTTTCTTTTTACAAAGGAGAGAGATATCTACTAGTTAAAACACATGTTAACTGTAGCCAAAGGAGAGTACAGTGGAGTGCCAAACTCATTTTATTGGGGGGAAGGGAGAGAGCAGACGACAAAACTCTGAGTTTCTCAAGTCTCTTCAAGTTTTGCTTTCTGTTGTCCTGGCTCAAAAAAAAACAACCCACATTATCAATGGCCTGCTAGGCCACAATGTAACAATACCATTCTTTATGGTTAGGCTCTCAGTCTTCATGGCAACAGTTCAGAAAATACAGATGCTGTGAGCTCATGCGATAGCAAGTACTACAGCTCCTGCCTCCTAGACAGACGCCTTGTTTACGACTTTAATCATTAACAGTTTAAAAAAACAAAAAAATCACCTCTCAATGTGCAGCCAGTGAGGTGGCTGGACATAGTAAAACAGTGATGCATTTCAAGTTTTAGAAAGTCAGAGGAGTCATTAGTGATAATCACCAGGAAGCTAAGGAAGTTTACTTATTCCTGTTATGAATCTTCCATGTTTCTACTGCAGGGGAGGAGGGTTCTCCGGAAACAATTTCAAGAGTTGGAAACAGTCACAGGTCTGGACAGAGATCACTGCCATGGTTTAAAATGGAGAGAGGACATTACAAGAATACTGCTTTCCTCAGGGTGCTAAGGTAAACATGGTCACGTGTCATTAACAGTTATCTGAGGTCCAAGGGAAAGTAATTCCAGAGAAGCTTTGGAGGAAAAGGAGTCAACAAACCACTGTACTAAAATCGAAAAATAGGGTTTTTGTATCCTTTCATCTGTATCCTAATCTCTTAA